AAAACGGTCAGCTCTACGACCCGAAGACACAAACGCTGGAAGACTTTCTGAACATAAGACTCGGTGAGGATATGCCGACAATACATGACGATAAGAAACCCGAACGCGATGTGAAGAACTTTCCCCGCGTTTTGCCGCCCATATGGCCCGACAGGACACGACTCTATTTGCTGCCCGACTCGTGGTTTGAGTACTTCTATAAGAAGACAGGAGTGACGGGTCCGTACGTATTCGGTGTCACATTCGGGACGTATCTCTTGTCCAAAGAGTGGTTTATCGTTGAGCACGAGATCTTTACGGGCGCGTCGTTGGCCATCCTTACGGCCGCCATTTGTATTAAAGCCGGTCCGGCCCTCAGGAAGTGGGGCGGAGAAGTGCAGGACGTAAGTTACCCTTTATTACAATCACTACTACTTATAAACACCACATTTAATGTCAAATACATTTACATTTATTTTTCATTAATCGGTTGTTTTAAAAGTTTTTTTAGTTCTCATTAATACAATTGAATCCAATTTACAAATATTAATGAATATTTTATTTGTTTATCACAATTGCATTCATTTTAATGAATATTTATAATTCAATATTGAATTTAAGAATAAATTAAATGAATGAACGAAAGAATAGTTTGAAGTTTTGATGAATTAGTTATTGTGATTGAATGACAGGAATCATACTATCTATTCATTGTGAGGAGACTATGACTTAACAATCAAAATGTTTGTTTAAATAATAATTATAATAATTGTTCAATTGATGTCTTGTGAATACTAATTACTAAATATGACCATTGGATGCATCTATGGTGTGGAGATGTAGTGATGTGTTAAATATAGTATTTGTGGTGTATTTTCAGGCGGAGGTAAACCTATGGAATGAATGGCAGGACGGGATGAAGAGTTTCCTCAACAATCTGGTGGGCGTCGAGAATGAGGCACAAGAGAGCGCTCGACAACACAAGATCCTGTTTGACGCCAAACGCGAGAACGTGAAGCTCCAGTTGGAGGCAGAGTTCAGGCGCCGACAAATGGTGGCCTACAGTGAGGTCCGCAATAGACTGGAGTACCTGTTGGCCAAACAGGTGGCGGAGCGACAGTACCAACAGCAGCATATGGTCAACTGGATTATCGATGGCGTCGCCAAAGGGATCTCCGCTCCACAGGAGAAGGACTTCCTTCAGAAATGCTTAACTGATTTGAAACTCTTGTCGTCTAAACATAAGATTTCGTTGACTTAATTAAATGTCATTCAAAAAGATTATTATTAAATTAGATTTCAAATTAAGCATTAAATTAGAAAATTGTTTAACTATTAAAAGTACGATAAAGTGAACTGTTTTTGTCTCTTATTTCTAACTATAAAACCTAATAATAACGACTATTTTTGGAGTAAAACACTCGCGAAATACTGTACTCTCAATGGACTTTAGATTAAACACATTATAATTAACTTTTGATCTGAAGTGAAGAGTCTCGTGAGGCGCGGAAGGGAGCCGTGAGAGAGAGAGAGAGAGAGATGTTTTAGTAATACTTTTAGTTCTTATTAATTAAAAGCCAAAAGTTTTTAAAATATAATGAATTTTATTTTTTATTTTATCTGATGAAATAAATGAAGCGAATGTCTGGACATATAATATATGTATCATAATTGTGAACCAGAATTAATAATATCGTTGAATGTGTTTTATTTCGCAGTTTTTTGACAAATCAATAAATAATGAGAAGAAGAATAAACTAGCGTTGAATTGTGTGCTAAACGTCACACTCGTGTATAATGTAATGTAAGTTATATGAAAGGCAAGTGACGGACAGTCGCACTAGAATTTCACGTTTAATAGCGGCTCCGATAGTTGCGGCTGAATGTTATCCGTTGCACAACAGTTATATACTATCGGTTCAAATGCTTGTATACCGTATATATACTGTGAAAATGCAAAACAAACGGTCCGATTCGCCAACACATGACGACACACACATTCTTCACGTTTTTATTCACACTTAACAAAACACTTATCGCTTAAGAACTTAATTATTGGCTTATGTTTTGACCGTTCGTTTCCATGTATTAAATGTGTTGAACAGAAAAACTATCATATTTTTTGCGCTCATTTGCTGTCAGTAAACGCTTTAACACAACTCTAAACCGAATTCTTGAAAAACTTATATATTTTGCTAACTTTTCACTTTAGACTGTTATCTATCCGTAAAGAATCTCTCAATTTGTTGTTTTTCATAATATTATGATTCTCGTCGTGAAATCACTTGAATCTCTTCAGACACTTCACTTAATTGAGCCAATGATGGAAATTGTGAGCGAATAGAGAGTGGAATATATCGATGAATTGAGTCGACCATCAATTGACACGGCGTTCGCACCGCTTATTGTATGCCAATTGTGTGCCTTAAATGCTGTATAACTATAATATCGTTTCGCTTTTTATCGATTCTTTATATAAACTGGTTTTCAAAAACAAACTAATCTCTCGTTTCATGTTATAAAAAGAGGTGAGTGTCTAAAAATGTATTTACCTTTTATTTTCATACTTTTTACCTGTCATTTGACAGAATATTCTGTTGGGATAATCATTGCCTGTAGTGAGTAGTGAATAACATATCATACATTCAAACACACAATGAATTACACTATTGTTTAATGAGTTGTTTTATATGTTTTCCAACAACATGTCAGTTGTATTGTTGAGAAAATATTAAATAATTTGCCAACAAATAAATGGTTTTCTCATTATATGCCGAACTCATCGTTCAAACAAAATAATAGGTTTTGTTTGAGGACTGTGTTTGGGAATTATGATGAAACCTCACTCAATACTCTTTTGTTAATAATGATCACGAATTAATATATAATCATATTATATATTATTCTTGACGTTAACCAACGACTCTGACTCTCACTTATAATTACTTTTCTGTAAAGTTATGTAATTTTATGTTTCAAGTCATTGAATAGAAGGTAACTTTGATTCTGCGATCAATATTTTCATTTAATTACTTTTTTAGTGATTCACTGATTCTGTAATTCTTGACACGTATTGAAAATATACAAAAAAAGTAATGTAATAACAAAAATGTCTAAACAAAATACACTTAATGTTTATTTTTAAGCAAATCTAATCAACGAAGGAAATTATTTGGGTTTTATAAAACTATGAAATTTTTTTTATGAAAGGAAAGCTTTAGTCAAGAATTATATTGTTTTTAGAGCCCGTATGCAAACAAACTTAATATGTTTGACACAAAAAACACTGTTTCAGCAAAAAATATATAAAAACAAGTTGATGTCAATATAAAACTCAAAATAACCGCACAATTATAAGTGTTTTATAGCGTTTAGTCGCCTCTCATTTGAATTATTGATATTTAGTATTGAAAGTGAAATCACTTTTTTAGACATTGATTGCTTTGGTATATATTTTATGGGATTTAGTGTTTATATAGTATAGGCGTATACCGTATTTAAGATTGCAATTGTTTGGTTCCTTTAGGGGTTAATTAGGCATTCAGTCCATAAGTAGAGACTTGTGTTGAAAAGTAAACGAAAAAAGCATTAGAAGTCATTTTAATTTTATGTTTCAAGTCATTGAATAGAAGGTAACTTTGATTCTGCGATCAATATTTTCATTTAATTACTTTTTTAGTGATTCACTGATTCTGTAATTCTTGACACGTATTGAAAATATACAAAAAAGTAATGTAATAACAAAAATGTCTAAACAAAATACACTTAATGTTTATTTTTTAAGCAAATCTAATCAACGAAGAAAATTATTTGGGTTTTTATAAAACTATGAAATTTTTTTTATGAAAGGAAAGGAAAGCTTTAGTCATAAATTATATTGTTTTTAGAGCCCGTATGCAAACAAACTTAATATGTTTGACACAAAAAAAACACTGTTTCAGCAAAAAATATATAAAAATAAGCTGATGTCAATATAAAACTCAAAATAACCGCACAATTATAAGTGTTTTATAGCGTTTAGTTCGCCTCTCATTTGAATTATTGATATTTAGTATTGAAAGTGAAATCACTTTTTTAGACATTGATTGCTTTGGTATATATTTTATGGGATTTAGTGTTTGTATAGTATAGGCGTATACCGTATTTAAGATTGCAATTGTTTGGTTCCTTTAGGGGTTAATTAGGCATTCAGTCCATAAGTAGAGACTTGTGTTGAAAAGTAAACGAAAAAAGCATTAGAAGTCATTTTTATAGTATAGGCGTATACCGTATTTAAGATTGCAATTGTTTGGTTCCTTTAGGGGTTAATTAGGCATTCAGTCCATAAGTAGAGACTTGTGTTGAAAAGTAAACGAAAAAAGCATTAGAAGTCATTTAGTCGATAGACTGTCGTCTCTAATCGACAGCACTATTATTGTCGTTCAATTCATTTCATTTTTTGAGTGGATCTGTCGTTAAGTCAGAAGTTAAACATTACTTTTTCTCAAAAGGTTATGATTATTATGATTTTTATCGATGCTTTTTCGTTAAGATATTAAAATATAATGAATAATTGCTTTCAAACACGACATCCAATGCATTAACCATCAAATGTGTAGCAAAACAAAAATGAGAACTTATTTCTATAATATAAATAATTATTTCAAGTAATATATGATTTAAAATTCTGCTCAAAATAAGTTATGATTGTATAATAACGTTGTTATTTGACAATAATAATTACAAATTGAGTAATGATGTGTATATAAAGAAAAAGAGGATAGGTAATTGCTTTCTCATCACGATTGTTTTATCCGTAAGTAACTCAAAATATTGAATACTTACTTTATATATAGTAATAGTCGTGACATTGGATTCGTTTCGGCGATATTTCTTTTTATAGAAAGTGCCTCTCAATCGATACCTGTCTGCGCCTCCATATCCGCACCTCATGTCAAGTATGACCTAATATTGACTCTCAATTGGATTGGGATTTTCACATCACATCAAAACATAAATTGTGTCACAAAAATTGAAAAAAGGATTTTCACAAAACTAAAAAATATGTGAATTTATTACAATTTTTACTCATTTACACAATTTATTTTTATTTTTATTTTTACTGTATTTTTATTATATTCTAAATATTAAATATATAAATATTACTTTATATATGAGGAGCACATCCATTGCACTCGCGTTTATCAAATAGCCTGTCAGTCTAGTGCCGCAGATAGCGAGAGTACTAATTTCACTTCAATTACTAACTCAGTTATGTATGCCTGTGTGCCTTATACCGTAACTAAAAAACCGTAAACTTTTTCTATCTCTGAAGAAAAAGTCGTTTCTCTTATATAATACAAAAAACGCAAAGAAATATATAAAAAACAAGTTTAACTCGGAGTTTGAGAGAATCGGTGAATTGTGTTGAGAAATGTGAAATTAGTAGTAATAATATTCACCATATATTTATTTAATGGTTTCCCGGCAAACAATAAATGTTGTGTTCAAAACTAAATATAATGCATGTATTTCACTGAATCGCGAGTCAAATTTATTGTAAATATTCAATTGCTTATCACATTTACTGCATTTAGTTTTTGGTTTTGCTATTTTTATTATTTATAACAAACATAAAATTTATGTGAATTATAAATCTCTATTTTATTTTGTCATTTCTCGTAGAATTATATGATTAAATAGTAATAACATTGAAAAATATTATTATGAGATATTTATGTAATAATGATAAGAATTTTGGCCGCAATAATACCATACGAATAGGTAATTCTGTTTTGATAATAAATTTTTAATTTATTAAAATCGATATATGGTTTGAACAGAACTTCAAAACGAGTTATTTATATGCAAAACACTGACCTAATTATAAAAGGCATGTTTGGATCGGTTTGTATACATATATAAATTAAGTACGAATACGGGTAATAGAGATTGATTTATATGCTATTTATAGATAATATAATATAATAGAGAAAATAACCAAATTTTATTGACAAATATATTAAATTGAATTAATTTTATTGAATAACCGATGGTTTCATATAAGCGAAAGTTATATATATTTATTGAATAAGTATTTCTTCGGAGATTTGAATTTGATATTCAATAGCATGAGATTGAGTCACAAATGAATGAATTATATGATAAGTATATTATTGAGTTATAGGCAGAGAATCAAACACTTTTGTATATGCGATATACAATAGACAAATATAGATAGAGTGGTGTCCCTTATGTTTGTAATCATACTTTTGCATCAATACATCCCAGTCTTCAGTCAACCATCAGAGAGAACACACACTTCTATCGCATCGACAAAACTTATCATTAATTCCTAATCAAAGAAATATCATAAA